CTGACAAAGGGCTGATATCCAGAATTTACAAAGAACTCAAACAGATTTACAAGAAAAAAACAAACAAGCCCATTCAAAAGTGGGCAAAGGATATGAACAGACACTTTACAAAAGAAGACATGCATGAGGCCAACAAACATATGAGAAATGCTCATCATCACGGGTCATTAGAGAAATGCAAATCAAAACTACATTGAAATACCATCTCACGCCAGTTAGAATGGCGATCATTAAAAAATCTGGAGATGACAGATGCTGGAGAGGATGTGGAGAAATAGGAACACTTTTACACTGTTGGTGGGAGTGTAAATTAGTTCAACCATTGTGGAAGACAGTGTGGCGATTCCTCAAGGCCTTAGAAATAGAAATTCCATTTGAACCAGCAATCCCATTACTGGGTACATATCCAAAGGACTATAAATCATTCTACTATAAGGGCACATGCACAAGAATGTTCATTGCAGCACTGTTTACAATAGCAAAGACCTGGAACCAACCCAAATGCCCATCGATGATAGACTGGACTGGGAAAATGTGGCACATATACACCATGGAATATTATGCAGCCATCAAAAACGATGGGTTGGTGTCCTTTGTAGGGACATGGATGAACCTGGAAACCATCATTCTCAGCAAACTGACACAAGAACAGAAAATCAAACACCACATGTTCTCACTCATAGGCGGGTGTTGAACAATGAGAACACATGGACACAGGGAGGGGAGCACTACACACTGGGGTCTGTTGGTGGGAAATAGGGAAGGGACAGTGGGGGGTGGGGAGTTGGGGAGAGAGAGCATGGGGAGAAATGCCAGATATAGGTGAAGGGGAAAAAAGCAGCAAATCTCACTGCCACGTGTGTACCTATGCAACTATCTTGCATGTTCTTCACATGTACCTCAAAACCTAAAATAAAATAAAATATCGACATTTGAATTGAAAAAAAAAAAAGACCAGCCTCAGAAAGATAGCAAGACCCCATCTTTACAAAAGTAAAAATAAAAATTATCTGGGCGTGGTGGTGCACCTGTAGTCTCAGCTACTCAAGAGACTGAGACAGGAGGAGTTCAAGGTTGAGTTTAACAGTTCAAGGTTACACTGAGCTATGATTGTGCTATTGCAGTCCAGCCTAGGTGACAGAGTGAGACCGTTTATCAATCAATCAGTCAGTCAATCAAAAAAGCAGGGAAATGATTTTTACATCAAACGTGAATTTTTCATAAAGTTAAAACCCAGCACTCTTCTTGGACTGCTTTTTAGAAACTCTCTTGATAATTTAAAAGGTAGTAACAATAAAAAAGAATATGTGAATACTGACAGGGTTAAACCTCAGAACTTTTCTTTTCTAAAAAGGAAACTTTAAAAAGTTTTATTTTTAATTGACAAATAATAATTGTTTATAGGCTAGGGACAATGGCTCATGCCTCCCAACACTTCCAGAGGCTGGGGGCGGTGGGCAGAGGGGCAGATCACCTGAGGTCAGGAGTTCAAGACATGCCTGGATGACATGGCAAAACACCATTCTACTAAAAAATACAGAAATTAGCCAGGCATGTTGGCAGGTGCCTGTAATCCCAGCTACTCAGGAAGCTGAGGCAAGGAGAATTGCTTGAACCTGGGAGGCAGAGGTTGGAGTGAGCCACTGCACTCCAGCCTGGACAACAGCGCAAGACTTCGTCTCAAAAAATAATAATTGTATTTATGAGGCTTGTAGGGGTGTGTGTGTGTGTGTGTGTGTGTGTGTGTGTGTGTGTGTGTGTTTCCAGAGGAACAGTCTTCCTATGTTGCCCTATGTTGCCCAGACTAGTCTCAAACTCCTGGGCTAATGCAATCCTCCTGCCTGGGCTTCCCTCAGTGCTGGGATTGCAGGCATGAGCCACCACGCCTGGCTGTAGATATTTTGATGTATGTTTACATTGTGAAATGATTAAATCAATGTAATTAAAATATCTATCACCTCACATATTCTTTTTTTGTGATGAGAACATTTAAAACCTACTGTTTTAGCAATTTGAAACATACAAAACATTATTATTAACTATAGTGGCCAGGCTGTGCAATAATAGATCTCCAGAATTATTAATTTATTCTAACTGAAGCTTGGTACCCTTTGACCAATATCTCCCCACTTCTCATCCTCCCCTTCACTCCTGTGACACCATTCTACTCTCCCCTTCTGTGAGCTTGACTTTCGTAGGTTCCACACATAAGTGAGAGCATTTGGTATTTGTCCCTTTGTGACTGGTTTATTTCACTTAGCATAAGGTCCTCCATGTTCATTCATGTGGCCACAAATGACAGAATTTCAAAAAGAAAACTTTGTGAGGGAAAATAAAGTATTGACAGAAGTTAGTGAGGACACACCAAAAAGTAGCCATCTCACCCACCTGTTTGAGAAAAAATGTGATTTATTGCAACTCAAGAAAAATCACCATGGCCAGGCACAGTGGCTCATGCCTGCAATCCCAACACTTTGGGAGGCCAAGGCAGGTGGATCGCTTGAGGTCAGGAGTTTGAGACCAGCCTGGCCAACATGGTGAAATCCTGTCTCTACTAAAAATACAAAAATTAGCCAAGTATGGTGGTGGGCGCCTCTAATCCCAGCTACTCAGGAGACTGAGGAATGAGAATCACTTGAACCCAGGGCGGAGGTTGCAGTGAGCTGAGATCGCACCACTACACTCTAGCCTGAGGGACAGAGCAAGACTCTGTCTCTACAAAAAAAGAAAAACCACCAGAGGCAGTCACACTCTCTCTTGCCCTCACATCTCAAAATCTTCTTGAGTTAACAGCTCAAGTTGGTTTGCTCCTGGTAAGACAAAGATGAATTACAGGATACTGAACAAGGAAGTGGTAAAGATACAGTTATCAGAACAATGACAAGTCAAACACTTTGCTCCTTGGGAAGTTAAGATTCTATTTCTAGTTTGTGTGAAGATTTAATCACCATTGAAGACTTAAGGAGAATCAAAAGTTGAAATTATTTAACCATCTAAGTTTTCTTCTTAAAGTCTGCCCTTTAACGGTTTAAAAACTGACATCTAGCAGGGCATAGTGGCTCACGCCCGTAATCCAAGCATTTTGGAGGCCAAGACGGGCGGTTCACCTGAGGTTGGAAGTTCAAGACCTGCCTGACCAACATGGTGAAACCCCGTCTTTTTAATGAAAAAAATAAAATAAAAACTGACATCTATATCTCTTATAATGTTGCTATTCAGAGGATAAAATGATATATCTATACTAGCCTCCATTAAACCATAACCACACTGCACTAGACAAATTATATCATTCCAGGTCTTCCTTTTTGTATTTTTGTGTGTGTGTGCTTCCTGATGGTAGAACTGTGCATTGTGTATTTGCTTTTTTGGGTCACAGGTATTTCTCCATTTTGGCATTGAAGATAGCTCTCACAGGCTCTAGGAAGATGACTTCCATTCAAAGCCCACCTCTGGGCCAGGTGTGGTGGCTCACACCTGTAATCCCAGCACTTTGGGAGACTGAGGTGGGCAGATCACAAGGTCAGGAGATCAAGAACAGTCTGGGCAACATGGCAAAACCCATCTCTACTAAAAAAATACAAAAATTAGCCAGGTGGGGTGGTGGGCGCCTGTAATCTCAGCTACTCGGGAGGTTGAGATAGGAGAATCACTTAAACTCAGGAGATGGAGGTTGAAGTGAGTCAAGATTGTGCCATTGCACTGCAGCCTGGGTAACAAGAGAAAGTCTCCATTTCAAAAACATAAACCCATGCCCTGCGCAGTGGCTCAAGCCTGTAATCCCAGCACTTTGGGAGGCTGAGGCAGGTGGATTATGAGGTCAAGAGATCAAGACCATCCTGGTCAACATGGTGAAACCCGTCTCTACTAAAAATACAAAAAATTAGCTGGGCATGGTGGCATGTGCCTGTAATCCCAGCTACTCAGGAGGCTGAGGCAGGAGAATTGCCTGAACCCAGGAGGCGGAGGTTGCGGTGAGCCGAGATCACGCCATTGCACTCCAGACTGGGTAACAAGAGCAAAATTCCATCTCAAAAAAAAAAAAAAAAAAAAAAAAAAAACCCACCTCTGCCATGCATTACTTATCTCATCTTGGGCAAGTATTAACCTCTCTGGGCCTCCATTTCACCATGGATAAATAGGGAAAATAATAGAGCATATCTTACAAGGCTTTTACTATAATTGTATAAATTAAAATATGGGATATTTCAATAAACGTGTCACAGGAAAATTTCAATAAATGTTTGCTGTTATGAAAAACAGAATGCATACTGTCATAAAAGATAAGGAAATGTCACCAAGAACCTCCTCTTTGAACACCAGAAGTTTAAATGGTAGAATTGGTAAACACATGCAAATATTTTCACACCCTTAACAAAATCATCACAGTAGTTGAGGTAGCTCCCCCAACACATCAAACCACATCTATGAGAACATGGAGCAATGCAAAGCCCAAGGCCTCTTCTGAATCACACACTCTCACATAATTATGCAAATGTGCACTCCATTTCTCCCAAGTACAGAACTGACTTTCAAATTTTGTTTGTTTTGAGATGGAGTCTTGCTCTGTTGCTCAGGCTGGAGTGCAAGCGGCACAATCTCAGCTCACTGCAACCTCCACCTCCTGTGTTCAAGCGATTCTCCTGCCTCAGCCTCCTGAGTAGCTGGGATTACAGGTGCGTGCCACTTTTGTCCAGCTAATTTTGTATTTTTAGTAGAGACGGGGTTTCACCATGTTGGCCCAGCTGGTCTTGAACTCGTGACCTCAGGATCCGCCTACCTTGGCTTCCCAAAGTGCTGGGATTACAGGTGTGAGCCACTGCGCCCCGCCCTAACTTTCAAATGTTAAAAGTTTGTTTCTAAAAAGTGGACTAACCCACTTATTGTAAACTCATCAAGCATTTAATGGCTATAATGGCATAGTGTGCCTCTTGCATTCCTGCTACTCTCCTCAGACACATACACTCCACCGCTCCTCATAACTGAAAAGCTTCAGCTTTTACCTGAAAACTGGCGACAATGCTCATTCCAATACATCCCAACAATCCAAGAATGAAAGACACCAAGTTAAGAGCAGGAGTGCTGAAATAGTAGGTTTGATTCTGCTTCTCTACTATGTTATATCTTGTATACATCGTGGCTGCAGCTGAAAAAGAAGAGAACTTTGATGAATGTTCATAATTTGATTTCTTTAGAATGAAAAACAGAAGCAGCTTCATATCACATGTACTGATTACAAGTCTCCCCACTTTCCCACACCTGTCCCTCCTGACTCCATCTTACTCTCTCCCCAGCATGGACACACACACACACACACACACACACACACATCTTGGCTGTTGTCCTTTTCATGTAGATGCTATTATAGTACATGCATTATTCAGTGACTTGCTTTTTCTACTTAACAATGTAGCATAGAGATCTTTTCATGTAAGTACAAACAGGTTTACTTCATTGTTTTCGGGGGTCTCATGGTGCTCTATGGTATGAGACACTATATTTATTTCATCGTTCTCCTAAAAATGAATTTCTACATCGTTTCCACATTTTTCCTGCTACAAACAACATTCACTGAATATCCTTGTATATAAATCTTTGGGCACACTTTCAGGTGTTTCTGAAAGATGGGTTCCTAGGAGCTATATTACTGGGTCAAAAAAACATGCACAATTAAAATGCTTAGAAACACCTCCAAATTGCTCCAAGGACAGTTAACAATTTAGACTCCCACTGGAAGAATTTGAGAGCAATGTTGTATGCCCTTGCCTTTTTATTCCTTTTAATCTAATAAATGAAAAATGCAACCTGTTGGTTTAATTTGCATTTCCCTGATATTAGTGAGATTTAGCAATTTTCAGTATTTCTTCTTCTGAGAAATGCATGTTTACAATTTTCTTTTTATTCTTCTGTTGGGCTTGTCTATTTCTAATTTGTAGTTACTTTTTACACACTATGTCCATTAGTCTATTATCTGTTATAAACATTGCACATTTTTTATGCTCTGCTATTTGTCTTTTAACAATGTTTCTTGTATTTTCCATCATTTAGAAGTTTTAATTTTTATATACTCATATCAGTCCATGCTTCTGGGTTTTGTGTAAGTTTCTATTCCAAGGTTTAAAAATATTCTCCTGTAATTTAATTACCACATAGTTTTGCTTTTCATGTTTACTAAACTGCAATTGGTTCTTGTGTATGATGTGAGGAGGATAGTAAAGGTATGTTTTTCGAAACTGCGAGTCAATTAACCAAATATCATTTGTTGTAATTTGGCAATAAAATGTAGCTTCCATGAGAGCAGGGGTCTTGTCTGTTTTGTTTGCTGTTGTGACCTCGACACTAAGCATAAACAAGCAAAAGCCTATCATATAGTACGTACTTTGTAAATGTTGAATAAATGAATAGTTATAATTTTTTTGTATTCCCTTTAACTCAGCAAATTTATAGAAAAACACAAATATGCAAAGATATATTTAAAAGATGTTCACTTCAACATTGTAACTACAAAATACCAGAAATAGCCTAAATGTTGAACAATAGGGGAGTAATTAAATAAATCATAATACATCCTTGCAAAGGATATCATGCATGCATGGAAAGTATAAAGTATAAAGACATAGTATGGTGGCCATAATATATGCCTGAATTTTTAAAAAGCAGGCTAAAAACTAACAACTTATCATGACATTTTTTTTTTCTTTTGGCAGCAGGGTCTCACTCTGTCAACTGGGTGGGAGTGTAGTGCTGCAATCATGGCCACTGCAGCCTTGACCTCCTGGGCTCAGGCAATCCTCCCTCCTTACCCTCCCAAGTAGTTGGGTCTACAGGCACACATCACAACACCCAGCTAATTTATTTCTTCCCTCTTTCTCTTTCTTTCTTTCCTTCTTTCTTTCTTTCTCTTTCTCTCTTTCTTTTTAATTTTTTGTAAAGATGGGATCTCACCACATTGAGACTATAGGCACACATTGGGACATTTGGGACTATAGGCACACATCACCATGCCCAGCTAATTTATTTCTTCCCTCTTTCTCTTTTTCTTTCTTTCTTTCTTCTTCCTTTTTTTTCTTTCTTTTTTCTCTCTTTCTCTCTTTCTTTTTATTTTTTTGTAAAGATGGGATCTTACCACATTGAGACTATAGGCACACATTGGGACATTTGGGACTATAGGCACACATCACCATGCCCAGCTAATTTATTTCTTCCCTCTTTCTCTTTCTTTCTTTCTTTCTCTTTCTCTCTTTCTTTTTATTTTTTTGTAAAGATGGGATCTTACCACATTGAGACTATAGGCACACATTGGGACATTTGGGACTATAGGCACACATCACCACACCCAGCTAATTTATTTCTTCTTTCTTTCTCTTTCTCTCTTTTTAATTTTTTGTAAAGATGGGATCTCACTACCTTCTTTCATTCTCTTTGTTTCTCTCTCTCTTTCTTTTTAATTTTTTGTAAAGATGGGATCTCACTACATTGCCCAGGCTGGTCTTGAACTCTTGGGCTCAATAGATCCTCCTGTTTCAGCCTCCCAAAATGCTAGAATCACAGGCATGAGCCACTGCACCTACCTCACACAGACTATTTTAAATGATTATATTTATGTCACCTTCTGCTTTATTCAGAAGCAAAAGATGTATTTATCACTTGCTGTGATAAAATAATCTCTCTGTTTTCCAAGTCAGGATTCGTGGCAAGAATGGCATAAGAGGGCACTGGGATTGACAGACTCCATATTGCTACTTCCCCTTGCTCACCTCCAAAACCTTAGGAGGGCTACAAATGGGTGATGCGGTGAAACTTTGCCGCTACCAAGTAGGACGAACAAATTCTAAAGATGCCAAGTCGCTAAGTAGGGTTAGCAACACTGTCCCTTCCCACCCTGTACCAGTAGAGAGAAACAGAAAGCGCTGGTTATGCGATAGGCCCTTGGCAAACACATGATTGTTCCATGGGGGTGGATTACAGCAGGACTAAGAGAAAAAGCCCTGCATCTAACATCTATATACTTGGATCGCCTTATAGAAGACTGAGCCTTACATTAATTGTGCAATAGTTGTCATTACTGTGCATTACATTAATTGGCTCATGATGAGGTTGTATCCTATCAACTGCATCTCAGGTGCATCTGGGGAACTGAAAAGAAAAATCATACTATTTCTTGCTTCACCTTTTCCCTTTCTCTAACAGGTAAGATAGTGCCTTTGTCAATGGTTCTCAAACTTAGTGAGAATCCAAGTCCCTTGGAGTGCTTGTTGAGAAGGCACAGTCATGAACCCACACTCCCAAAGGTTCTGGCTGAGTCGTGTGGCATCTAGTTGCCTTCAGACCACACTTTGAGAAACTTCGCTTACGCACTGGGTGTCTTTGGTTTCCATAAGTGTCTTGAATATAAATCAACATTTTTAAAAACCAAATTGCACTTAAAATCCATTCCAGAAGTTTGGTATTTAAAACCACCTACAGAAAATCCTGTTATAAATTACTAAAGTATAGTTCTCTAATAAAGCCATAATTTTGGTTATCTTTTCACTTCAGTTTCTCAAAATAGCACAAAAATCTAGCTCCAAAGGTTGTGCTTTTTAAAAGTTATACACCAGGCCGTGTGCAGTGGCTCACACCTATTATTTCAGCACTTTGAGAGGTCAAAGCAGGTAGATTACTTAAACATAGGAGTTCAAGGCCAGCCTGGGAACATGGCAAAACCCCATCTCTACAAAAAACACAAAAAATTAGCTAGGCATGGTGGTGTATGCCTGTAGTACCAGCTACTCTGGGGTGGGAGAATTGCCTGAGCCCGGGAGGTTGAGGTTGCGGTGAGCTGTGATCACACCACTGCACTCCAGACTGAACAACAGAGACCCTGTCTCATGAAAAAATAAATAAAATAAAATAAAATAAGATAAAAATTATACACAAACTAAAAATAACACATCTGACTTCACTTGGAATTGTGAACTTTTTGATTATTTATAATAATTATTGTGTACTTACCAAGAAATGCAGAGAAGTTTATCATAAATCCAAAAATACCACTCTCTGGAGGTTTTGTTCCTGTATCACTGGCAAAGAGAAGAAATATCCAAATTATTAGAGAGAAATTCAGTACACACCTCTGAGAAGACATGTAATTGGCAAGTTTTATATCGTGTTTCATTTAGGTGTTCAGCCACTTTGAATTTCAAAGATTTGGCCTGATTTTGTTCTAAAGTGTTTTCATTTTGGCTCTAAAAAATCTAAAATTTATTTGTATACCATGAGAGATTCCATAGTAAAAAGTCAGAAAATGTTTAAGTTAAATGGTGTTGCCATTTCTCAAATGATAGTGGTTATAGTGATCTGAGATGGCACCACTGCATTCCAGCCTGGGTGACAAAGAGAGACTTGGTTTCAAAATAAAATAAAATCATGTTTGAAAATTCTAATATTGGGATGTGATGTAAACACATCACTTTATTTTCTAATAACTGAGATTTTATTATCTGCTGAAAATATTATGATAAAAAGCTGAGGAATATTACTGATCTCTAGGAGTACTTTATGGAAAAATAAGGTATCTAGGGTATACTAATTGTGGTCAATTATTTTAACAAAAATGTTGCTGTAAAACATTTTTCAGGTATAGTCTTTCAATTAATTAGATGAGTTGGAAAATACTGTTTGACATGTTCTTTTCTTTTCTTTTTTTTTTTTTTAAAGATGGGGTTTCTCCATGATGGCCAGGCTGGTCTTGAACTCCCAACCTTAGGTGATCCACCCACCTTGGCCTCCCAAAGTGCTAGGATTACAGGCCTGAGCCACCGCGCCTGGCGACATGTTCTTTTTTTTAATTGTTATTTTTTTTTATCATTTAGAGACAGGGTTTTGCTATGTTACCCAGGCTGGTTTTGAAGTCCTGAGCTCAAGGAATTCTCCTGCCTCAACCTCCCAAAGTGCTGGTGTGAGCGTCTGGCCAACATGATCTATTTTCTATTAGTGCCAAGCTGTAACTTATTTTTCATTTTCAGGCTGCTCACATAGCAACTTTCTCACTTTAAAACTGATGGCGAAAGAACTGCCAACATGAAACAACGTGTACCCATTTTGAGTGTTTCTACATCTGTAAACAGCTCTGAAATTCAAGCAACGAAAAACTGATCACGTTGACAATGATGCACTTGGAAGCGTTTGAAGAATTCCACAAGGAGCCTGTGTGTGCAGAAAGCAGGAACTTTTTAAGTTTTGCGAACACTTCATATTTAAACTGGAGTATAAAGAAGTTAATAGGGCCGGGCGTGGGGGCTTACACCTGTAATTCCAGCACTTTGGGAGGCCGAGGCAGGTAGATCACCTGAGGCTAGGAGTTCGAGACCAGCCTGACCAACATAGTGAAACCCTGTCTCTACTAAAAAATATAAAAATTAGTTGAGCATGGTGGCAGACACCAGCAATCCCAGCTACTCGGGAGGCTGAGGCAGGAGAATCGCTTGAACCCAGGATGCGGAAGTTGCAGTGAGCCAAGATCATATCATTACACTGGCCTGGGCAACAGACCCAGACTTCATCTCAAAAGAAAAAGAAAGAAAAGAAGAAGTTAATAGCCTCCCTTACAACAAATGCCTTTATTCCAAATTAATTCAATCTCAACATCACTGATAATTGCAAGAACCTGAAGGGTTTAGAATTCAGGCTGGGTGCAGTGGCTCACACCTATAATTCCAGCACTTTGGGAGGCTGAGACAGGAAGATAACCTGAGCTCAGGAGTTCAAGACCAGCCTGGCCAACATGGTGAAACTCTGTTTCTACTAAAAATACAAAAATTAGCTGGGCGTGGTAGTGGGTGCTTGCAATCCCAGCTACTCAGGAGGCTGAGGCAGGAGAATCACTTGAACCCACGAGGCAAAGTTTGCAGTGAGCCGAGATCACACCACTGCCCTCCAGCCCAGGTGACAGAGTGAGACTCAGTCTCAAAGAAAAAAAAAAAACCTGAAGGGTTTAGAATTTAGCACTTTTCCCATGATAACCATTTTTCACGCTAAAGGAATGCTGAAGTGGAAGATGCCCTTCTGAGCGCTATGCTGAATGGGCACAGAGGCAGGAATGGGAACCAAAGACCGGGGAAAAAGCAGAGGCAGCTCATTACCCTGGGAAGCACTTTTGCCAGACAATTAACTTTGCCAGGGAAATCAGGCATTCCTGCCTTGGCCTCAGGTTATTAAAAAAAGCAGGCACCAGGTGACTCATCCTAGAGTTCTTGTTACACAGGTCTGAGAATAACTCTGAACCTGACAGCCACATCACAGGCATGGGAGCAAACGCAGAGGAGGTACACTGGGAAGGTTGTTTGCCTGTTTGAGGAGAAAGGGAAGGCAATGAAAGCATGAGGAGGATATTTAGGAAGATAGGGAGGTGGAGGATGAAGGTGCTCTAGGTGCTCTGACAAAAGAGAAGACCAGACCTGAGGACCCTGTCTATTGATTGCAAGTTGAGACTATGTCAAAGGCCCAGGTGTAGAGTCCACATGACATCAAATAGGTGATTGGAAAACTCAGAATTCCAGGGTGGTGTTTCATTCTTGCTTATCTGTACATTTAAAACCATATGGGTGGAGGCCAGGCATGGTAGCTCACACCCATAATCCCAGCACTTTGGGAGGCTGAGGAGGGTGGATCACTTGAGCTCAGGGGTTTGAAACCAGCCTAGGCAACATGGTGAAACTCTGTCTCTACAAAAAATACAAAAATTGGCTGGGCACAGTGGCCCATGCCTGTAATCCCAGCAATTTGGGAGGCTGAGGCGGGCAGATCACTTAAGGTTAGCAGTTCAAGACCAGCCTGGCCAACATGGTGAAACCCCATCTCTACTAAAATACCAAAAATGCCTGCAATCCCAGCTACTCAGAAGCCTGAGGCAGGAGAATCTCTTGAACCCAGGAGACAGAGGTTGCAGTGAGCCAAGATGCCGCCATTGCACTCCAGCCTGGGTGACAAGACACTCCAGACACGGTCTCAATAAATAAATAAATAATACAAAAATTAGCCAGGCATGGTGGCATGTACCTGTAGTCCCAGCTACATGGGAGGCTAAGGTGGGAAGATCACTTGTGCCCAGTAAGCAGAGGTTACAGTGAGCCGAGATCATGCCACTACCCACCAGCCTAGGTGACAGAGTGAGACCCTGTCTTCAAAATAAATAAATAAATAAACATTTTTTTAAAAAACCATACAGGTGAAGGGAAGCTCAGAATACTTGGTACTAAAATTAAAATAAATAAATAAAATAAAACCATACAGGTGGAACCAAAAGCACTTTACAAATAGCCATTCCCTATGTATTGTTGAACGAATGACTATCGGTACTGGCCAAAAAAAAACTGACCTAATAGATTCCACTTACTGAGCATTGACTCTGTACCCACCAGGCACCTTAGGTGCTTACCATACATCATTTCATTTCACCTTCACAGCCCCAAGCGGGGTGTATATCAACCCCTCTTTACAAAGTAGAAAGCTGGGTATTAAAGAGGCTATATAACTTGTTCAAGAGCTTCACAGAGGATTCCGTATCCCAGTCCAGATGTTTAACACCCTGACTTCTCAACCTCTACTCTGCTCTAACAGCAGGCAAGGAACTAAGCCAGTAGGAGAATGATTGGGGGCAGCGAGCCAACATTGATATATATGCTGGTCAGTGCTTAACAGCCAGCTCTGGAGGGTGCCTGGTTTATGGCATTTGCCAATTTTCATGGTGAAAATACTCCCAACATGTTAAAATTCAGGCTATCAAAAGAATGAAAACAAAAATAAATAAAAATAAAATTTGGAGTATCAAAATGCAGGTCACTGAACACGGAGTTGGAAGAGAAACTCAGTCCATGCTCAGGAGCAGATACCAGCTACCTCCAGCATGCCATGGAAATGAACCAGCATGGTGATATGGTGATGGGAAGGCATCATAGAGGCTGGGCATGGTGCCTCACGCCTGTAATCCCAGCACTCTGGGAGGCCAAGGCAGGTAGATCACTTGAGGTCAGGAGTTTGAGACCAGCCTGGCCAACATGGTGAAACCCCATCTCTAAAATACAAAAAAAAAAAAAAATTAGCTAGGCATGGTGATGGGCACCTATAATCTCAGCTACTTGTAAGGCTGAGGCAGGAGAATCACTTGAACCTGGGAAGCTGAGGTTGCAGTGAGCCGAGATTGTGCCTCTGCAATCCAGCCCGGGTGACAGAGCAAGACTCTATCTCAAAAAAATAAAATAAAAATGAAAGCGCTCTTACCTCTCAGTGAAAAATATTCTTATAAGTCTTTCCGTGTCTGACCTTATATATTAAGTAAATTCTGTTTTGTTTTGTTTTTTCCTTTTTTGGACAGCATATATAGGTAAATATTAAGTCACATCTTCTAGTGATATTGGAATCCAGATGACCATAAAACTAAGAGGTAACCAAGAGACCCTGGGGGTAGCCGCTGTTGTTGCTTTTTTTTTTTTTTTTTTTTTAAGACAGAGTCTCACTCTGTTGCCCAGGCTGAAGTGTAATGGCACAATATCAGCTCACTGCAACCTCCATCTTCTAGGTTCAAGTGATCCTCCTGCCTCAGCCTCCTGAGAAGCTGGGACTACAGGTGCATGCCACCATGCCCGGCTAATTTTTGTATTTTTAGTAGAGACAGGGTTTCACCATGTTGGTTAGGCTGGTCTTGAACTCCTGACATCAAATGATCCGCCTGACTTGCCCTCCCAAAGTGCTGGGACTACAGGCATAAGCCACCATGACCAGCCACCTCTTTTTATTTTATTTTTTAAGCTCAAGCTAAGTGATTCCATCATGCAAGGGTAGCAGTATAGTATTTGTTTGGCCTAACTGCCTGGGTGCCTGATTCAGTAAACTGGAAAAGGAGTGAGAGGCAAAACCAGTTGCTTCCCAGCCTGGCAGCAGTAGTCTCTCTACCCAGCTGCTACCACATCATTCTGTACCACACGGTATCTGCAGTGTAGTGGGCCCTGCCCAGCCCCACCCACCACCTCATTTGCCTCCTTGCTAATAAGGCACTTCCTGGAAACTGCAAGGAGGACAAGGC